GAGCTGGTGCACGCGATGGGCTGGAACCACAACCACAAGCCAGAGCTGTCACCTCGACAGGAGCTCCGGCCTCGCACCACCCGCTCCATCTTCCAGCAAAAGACTCCAGCCAGCACTGCTGTCCAAATGCCTGTACTCAGTTCAAACCATGGTCCCCACAAAAAGCAGGGCCGTACCTTCTTGACTCTGTCAGACTTCGCAGACAGCAGTGACTATGTGGAGTACTTACAGGCAAACCTGGTGCATGGCATGAGGGTGCGCTTGCTGGAGGACTGTGGTGACGTTAGAGCTGGGGAGGAAGGCGAGTTTCTTCAGAGCACTAACAGCATGCACACAGTACAGGTATGTCATGGGTGGTCATATTCTGGCTGGGGTGGCAGAGGGGAGTGACCAGAGGGACTGATGATTTCTAATGATGTCTTTATGTACAGGAAGTTGAACAATAGATGTATCATAATACGTATCACTGTCTACATCTGTCCTAGCAAAAAACTCACTTTTCAGAGCTGGAGGTGTGGGTTGTGAGGAAAGTTAGTCTGGTTTAGTACAGGTTGTGCTGCTAAGATTTCTTGGTCTCTGAAACAGGTGGCTATATCCTGTGTCCTGGGAGCTGGTTTGATCTTGAGGGTGATTTAGGAACAGGCTAGCTGACACAAATGAGTAGCACAGCAAAAGGTACGTGAAGAATTTAAGCCTTAGTATGTGAATTACAATGTTTATGGCACATTGTTGTTCTCAGTGGGTTGAACACAGCCTACATAGTTGTTGCTTTTAATCTGTATATGTTGGGATCTGTTTCCCTTTAAAAATGCCCTTTAGGTGAGTAGACCTCAGCTGAGAGCTTCTGTTGAAAAGAGCTGCGTATTTGCTAAGTTTGTGCCAGAGGTCAGGAAAAGACTTCAATATTTTAAGAGGGGGAGGAATCATAGAGCAGTTTGGATTGAAAGGAACCTTTAAAGGCCATCTAGTCCAGCCCTCTGCAATAAGCAGGGACATCTTCATCTAGACCAGATTGCTGAGAGCCCCATCCAACTTGACCTCAAACGTTTCCAGGGATGGGGCATGTACATCTTTTCTGAGCAACCTGTTCTGGTGTTTCATGACCCTAATTGTAAAGAACAACTTTATGTCCAATCTAAATCACCCCTCTTTCAGTTTAAAACCATTATACCTTGTCCTATTGCAACAGGCATTACTAAAAAGTCTCTCCTCAACTTTCTTACAAGCCCCCTTTAAGTATTGAAAGGCCACTATAAGGTTTCCCTTGAGCCTTCTCTTCTCCAGGATGAACAACCTCAGCTCTCTCAGTGTTTCTTCATAGGAGAGGTGTTCCATCCCTCTTATTGTTTTCGTGATCCTCCTCTGGACCTGCTCCAACAGGTCCATCCCTTGTACTGAGGAATCCAGAGCTGGATGCAGTGCTCCAGGTGGGTCTCATCAGAGAGTAGAGAGGCAGAGTCACCTCCCTCGACCTGCTGGACATGCTGCATTTGATGCAGCCCAGGGTGTCGTTGGCTTTCTGGGCTGTGAGTGCACATTGCTGGGTCATGTCCAGCTTTTCATCCACCATTCTGCTAAGTCCTTCATAGGGCTACTTTCAATCCCTTCGTCCTCCAGCCTGGATTGGTACTAGGGTTTGTCCCAACCCAGGTGCAGGCCCTTGCACTTGGCCCTGTTGAACCTCATGAGGTTCCTCTGGGCTGACTTCTCGAGTTCATCCGGGTCCCTCTGGATGCCATCCCTTCCCTCAGGCCTGTCAACTGCACTGCTCAGCTTGGTGTTGTCAAAAAACTTTCTGACAGTGCAATTGATCCCACTGTCATTGATGAAGATATTGAACAGTATTGGTCCCAATACAGACCACTGAGGGACACCACTTGTTATTGATCTCCATCTGGTCATGGAGCTGTTGACTTGTGGATATGACCATTCAACGAATTCTTCATCATGTATTGAATCCATATCTCTTCAATTTAAAGAAAAGAATGTTGTGGGATCCATGTCAGAGGCCTTACACAAGTCCAGAGAGGTGACAGTGGTAGCTCTTCCCTTGTCTACTGATGGAGTCACTCCCTCACAGACAGCCACCAGGTTGGCCAGGCAAAACTTGTCCTTGGTAAAGCCTTGCTCATTGTCTTGAATCACCTCCCTATCTTCCATGTGCCTTAGTGAAAGATTTTTCTAGTTTTGGACTGTGAATAGGTGATGTTTCATTTTGGACCCCCTCAAGTGAATAACTGCTTTGCATCTTACTTTTCAGTGGTTTATAAATCTCTTTTCTATTATAATCCAGTCCATAAAGATAAATTGCAAAGGTAATGTATTTCCTACTGATTCTCTCTTTGTCCTTATGCTTCTTGATTTCTGTGTTTTCCTAAAATTGTGGTTTCTATTTCTTATAAGCATTTTCTTGCTTTTACTCTTAATGTAACTGGGCACATGGAAAGAGCACCAAGCTCCTTTCACATTTTTCTCCTGTTGCCTATGACATAAATTTCAAAGGGTTTTTAATTCAGTGTTGAGCTGAAGTGTACTGTTAACTTGATTTCCCTTTGTCCTGTCGGTCCCTTGGGTTCCCTCTCCTGTCTATTTTTCTGTTTAATTAGGTTGAATGAATTTGCAGTTGCTCCATCCAGACTTATTTTCAGTACGTTATCTGTAAGGCTCACACTATTAACAAAACCAGATCTGAATGGCAACTGGGACCAGTCCATCATGAGTCTGTCTCTTACCTCCTCCCATCTTTCCTTTGTTTCTTTGTTTTCTATTGCTTTCTTTGCTTTCCAAAGAAAGAGTATCACTGTTGTCTGGTCCTGCAACCATATCTTGCCATGACTCCTTTGAGATCAAATTTGGTACATAACTAGTTTAGGTCAGGGAATCATTGAAGACTATTTGGTGTTGTGTGTAGTTTAACTCAACTTCTTTCCATATAGTACTTTCCTAAAGTCTTTCAGCATCTTATCTCTTTAGCTTTCCAGCACAATGGGCTTGTAGTAGCACTGGTGTAACTCCAAAAGAGCTCAGTGGAACAGACAAACCATATGTTTTTCTGCTGGTTTTTAAAGCTACTCACATGTTATACTTGCTGTTGCTGAGTTCTCCTTCTGCTCAGAAGGGTAAATGTAAAAGTATGGTGTGGGAAGCCATAAAAAAATCCTTCTGATTTTTGAAGGGCAACTTAAACAAAGCAGAGGAAACAAGTGCTGCATTTCAGACATGCTTGTCAAGAACCCAACACCTGTTTGAGATGAGAGGGTTGGTGAATGACCAAGGTATAAAAGTGCCTTGAGACACTTTATATACAGCTCATCTGCCTCAAGGTGATGTTGGTTATGTTCTTCCTTTATATGCTTTTCCCGAGGCACCTGCTGCTTGGCACTTTTAGACCAGGCATGATTAACTGGAGGCACTCATGTCACTGCTGCTGTGTTAAATGAGATCTGTAGTGTGTAGGTTGCAGGCAAAATTGGTGTTTTTTTAAAAATAAAGATCTAGGTGTAACCAGGGCAACAAGCTAGTAAAGATGGTATGCCTCAAAACTAGACAATGTGTGTGCTGAAATCTGTATGTGAATTGTGTAGTCTTCTACTTGAACAGTGCTTGCTGTCTCCATGCACTGGGGAGCACAAATGTAGCATGAGGATTGAATGAGTGAAGATATCTGATTACTTAGATCTGTTTCACCCACAGGTTTTATGGCGGTCAACAGGTCGAATCTACTGGATGCGTTGGCAAATATTGGAGATTATTGGCTTTGGAGACTGGTGGGAAGATCCTGCTGCTCAGGAAAAGGAACATAGTCCAATAAAGAGCTTTAATCTAGACACAGGTGAGATTATGTGCTGCGTGTGTGTATCATCTCTTTCTTTCTGCTGTGGGATGTTTTTGAGTGGTGATCTTTATACGGCCAAGCACATAGCAAGTAGCAGGTTGAGTTTAGAAAGCAAGATTAGTTTGTATGACCATGTAGAGCTAGTTAAGTCATTACACAGCTTGTGGTTGCATGGAGTATTTTTGAACTCTAGACTTCTGTCAAGATATAATAAAAGTAATGGTATAAAAAGCATAAAATTTAATTTAAACTACAACTGTCAAAACTGTGTGTTTGAATTAATTGAACAAATTGCCAAAACACAAATGTAGAATTTCTCTGAGGTGAAGCTGCTTTAGGGACACTCAGATCCCCTTAAATAAGTGATGAGGATTTTTAAAAGCATTAACATAGCAACAATTTGTTTAATTTCATACCGTTAAGCTTTGGACAAGGTGAGTATTAAAACACTGTTTTCATAAGACATCTGCAGCATCTACTAGAATCCTTTACCATTGCCCTTGTACTGGGAGAAGATAAAAGGGGAATCCAGACTTAAGATACCCCTTTCTTGTTCAGGTCTGACATGACCCTGGCCAGGGAAACCCGTTAAAGTAACTCTTTTATCATAGCTCTGATCTTCTTGGACATCTTTTGTGTAGAGTGGTTTGGATTTAACTGTTGCAAGAGAGAGAATGTAGATGAGATCAGCAGCTAATTACTTGCTTTCAAAATATTCTTATTGCCAGTTGAAAAGATGGCTTCTTTAATGGCTTCTAGCTCTTGTAAATAGAGACTTAACTTCATGTCAGTTCAAAGTGTTAAAACGAACTTGGTTAGACTAAGCCTTTCTCTCAGTCTTTCTGATTTTGGGAGAAGCATGAGCTCTGTTTCACTTCTGTGTATACCTCTTCCCAGTCATCATATCCCACAGAGAAATTGAATTGAAATGTGGGGTGTGCAGCAGAGGATGGGGGAATTGGCAGAACTGACAGTGCCCTTCCTTGCTCTGCCCTCCTGCAGTTGCACAGCCATTTTTGTGCAAGCCCTTGGGAGGTCTGTACTCCCTGCCTTACCTGGGGCAGCCGCCGACCAAGGCTGCAGAGGCCCTGAGCCGTGCCGAGTGGTGGGAGCTGCTCTTCTTTGTGAAGAAGCTGGAAGCACAGGAGCAGAAAGAGATCACCTTTCTCATCCAGCATGACCAGGGAGAGCAGGTATGGGCCAGTGCCTGCAGTGGGGAAACGGGAGGGAGAGAGCGAGGGAGAACATTAGGGAAAGGACCAGGACCAGTGGAGATGGCAAACATGAGCTATGCAGGGACAGACTGAATGGGGCAGAAATGGGACAGAAATGGGAGGGTGAGCGGGGATGGCAAAACCATGGGGAGCTTGTCCCAGCAAAGCTATGAGGGGAGATGAGAGGAAATGCAGTCTCCCATGACTGGAAGAGTGACTGTCCAGTGAGGTTTGGGTAGGTGAGGCAAGGCCATGGGGTCATTCTACCAGTTGCAGTTGGGTGGTGAGTGCAGGTGGGAGGTCTGGGCTGGTGGCAGTTGGGTTGGGGACAGCCAGGGTGGCACTGGGAAGTGGCCCCAGGGACCTCCAACGGTGCAGCCTTTCCATCAGTTCTGCCACTGGCTGTCACAAGGGGCATGAGGGCTGTGGCGAGTCCAAGATTAACTTGGCCCCATTGGTCTGGCTGTTGGAGGTGGATGAAGAAGCCTTGATCCAGCTGTCGGTACCTGCGGAGCTGGCCCAGAAGGTGCTGCAGGTCTTGGAGAAGCGGTGCCAGGGCAGCACTCTGCGTGACCTGCGTGGCTGCCGCGTCTATGCCAGATACTTCCTCAGTAGGGGAGCTGAGCAGGATGGTGGGGGGAGCACCGCAGTGTCCTCAGAGGGCAGTGGCTGCAGGAGCATTGGCCGTGAAGCCATGATGGCCAAGGCAGCAAAGGAAGACCTTTCTGCAGCCGCAGTGCCGCCCCAAGCCCCCAGTGTGGCAGTGAAGTCCGATTCCCAGCTGTTCAGCGAGCTCCTTAGGAGTGAAGGGCTGTGCTTCCCAGAGGTGACGGAGGAGCAGATCAAAGGTAATGTCCTGCTATGTGCTGGGGTGCACACGCAGTGCTGGAAGTGGCACCGTTGCCTCAAGAAAGGAAGGTTCTGGGCAGGGCATGGGGGGCCAGGCAGCTGGTGGGGTGCCTGTGGGTGCTGGTTTTGTGAGTGCATGGCACCCTGGGAGCTGCTGGGGGTGTTACTGCTGCCTGATGCCTCCCTCCCTCTGGCCAGTGTTGGGCAGCTCCAAAGGGGTGAGCGAGAGCGGCTCGTTGGCCGAGATTGCAGCCATGGTGGACGTGATCGAGAGCAGCAGCTCAGCGGTGGGGCTGCGCTTAGCTGGGCTCAAGCAAATCTTGAAGATCCTGGAGGAGGAGCCCAAGTCCGAGCAGCAAGTTGGCACAGCCCAGGGCAGGCTGGGGACCGGGAGTGCTGGGTGAGCCGTGGGGTGCTGCACACCCCTCCTGCTGCCTGGGGAGGGCTGTGTCGGCACGGTGGGGGACAGTACTGGAGCTGGGAGTACCGGAGGTGGCAGTGGGAGTGTGCAGACTGGTATGTCCCTGCATGCTTGGCAAGAGGAAAGTGGATTTTGTGTCCCTTTGTCTCAGGCAGGCTCATTCCTTGGGCTGACCCAGCTGAGGCAGAGCCGTGTGGGCAGAGAGGAGGTGGCTGGCAGGGCCCAAGGTGCTGGTGTGCCAGTGGCAGTGCCAGGAGGCTCCTCCTGAGGTATCCTTTCCTGAGCAGGGAGAAGCTGGTGCAAGTGGCAGTGGAGCTGCTGAGCACTGAGGTGGCAGAGAAGGCGCTGGTGGCGGTGACGCTGCGGCTGCTGGCCGTGCTGATGGCACAGCACGACTGGCGTGTGCCGTTTGCCACGGAGGGTGGCGTGCGGGCCGTGCTGGCCTGCATGCAGCAGCACAGCTCCTCCGCCCTGGTGCAGCAGGCTGGCCTGGCGGTGAGTGGCAGAGGGGATGCTGTATGTGGGCAGGCAGTGTGCAGGCTCACCCAGGTGTGGTGGAGATATCCACTGCCCTCTGGACCGCTGCTGACTTCGCAGGCCCTGAAGGTGCTGGTGGGAGCTGCAGATGGTGAGCCAGGAGGTGGGAAGTCCTTGTCCTGGAACCATGCTGACGTGCAGATGATGCGGGAGATCTTTGCCAGCATCGGCTCTGCCTCCAGCGAGGGCTCTGCCAGTCTGCTGAGTACTATCCCTGCTGCCCTGAGCACCATGCAGAGGGTCCCAGGGTAGGAGCAGAGTGCAGACAGCAGCTGGGGCTGGGGGGACCCTCCACAGTGGGGAGGAATGAGCACGGCAGGCAGGCGGCTTGTGGGTTCAGGGGAGGCTCTGTGCCTGGGGGAGGAGAGCGCCTGCATGGCTTCGTCCCTGCAGGGGCTCCTCAGGAGTGCAGAACGGCTTGCTGGTGGTGAACATGCTGATGGATGGGCACCGGGGCCTTGCTGAGCAGCTGGCGAGTTGCGACCTCCCGGCGGTGCTGCAGAGCTGCTGGAGGGATGGGCAGAGCAGCGGCTGCCCTCATGCGGTGCTGGCCCTCCGCGCCATCAACCGCCTCGCAGAGCACGGGTTGCCCCTGGGCCTGGAGGCAGCAGGTACCGCGCTGCCCATCCTCCCCATGCCACGGCTCCACGGGTGCCACAGGCAGGGATGCCTCACCTGCCAGGGCAGAGCACCCCGAGATGCTGCTGGCTCTCAAGCTGGTGCCTGAGCTGGGCCCATGTCCTTGTCATGGCAGGCAGAGAAGCCCCACTGGACCTGAAGGGTGTGCGGATGCTTCTGGGCAGCCTGGAGGATGGTGCTTTGTCCAAGGAGGTGGTGGTGGCCCTGGAACGGCAGCTCTGCGGTGAAGGCCCTGTCCCCTCTGGGCAGGTGGCCCAGCTGCTGCAGGACCACAGCTGCTTCAGGCTGCTGCTGCGCAGCTTGGAGCTGCTGGGGGTGGAGAAGGCTGTGAGCCTGAGCATCCTCAGGTGGGTGCAGGGGGATTTGGTGGGGGTCTGGGGCCCCCTCAGCAGGCGTGTGAGTGCTGATGGTGATGTTGGGGAGACACGGCACATGTTTGCGGGTCCTGGTGGGGGTGTTCTTCACCAGGGGCAGGGGCAGGAGCACCCCAACACATAAGCAGGTGCTGATTGGGTTGTGCTGGGTACAGGGCCATGTGGGGACACAGCAGGATGTGTCTGGGTGCTGGTGGGGACATGCAGGGGCAGCACAGAACGAGCCTGGCTGCTGATGGGGTGTCCGAGGTACAAGGGGAGCCTTGGTTACCAGTCCCTGAGAGGTGCCTTCCAAGTGGGGCAGGGAAGCAGAGCTGCCTCTGGCACTGCTGTCCATGCGCCCTCTGTCGCTCAGGATCCTGAACAAGTTCCTGGACAGTTATCAGGAGGATGTGCTGCCCTGGCACGAGTGTGTGGAGCCCTGTGTGTCCTCCCTGAGCACCCACAGCAGCAGCTGGGAGGTGAGGGGGCCCTGGGACTCCGGGCAGGCAAGGGCAGCTGTGCTGGCTGTGCCGTGCATTGGCCAGGCCCAGCATTGGTGAAGCAGGTCCCAGCCTGGCCTTGTTGTGTCTAATGTGCTGGGAGAGGTGGGGAGCAGCTGTCCTGGCCGTGTCCTGATGGCCACATGCCTGGCCAGACTCTGGTGGGCACTGGTGCAGTCGGGGTGGGGGGGATGGAGCTGCAGCACCTGCATCTGGGGGGGCCAGGGGAGTTCCTGGCACCACCCCTGCTGCTCAGGGCTGTGGCTCAGCAGGTGCTGCAGGAGGTCGTTGGCTTCCTGCACCGCCTGGCCACTGCCAGCAAGGACTGTGTGGTGGTGATGTGCCACGTGGGCACCCACGAGGCTCTGTCCAAAGCCCTGGAAAAGCACAGTGTGGTTTCGTCGCTGGCGCCAGCCCTGCTCAACCTGGTGATGGACTGTGAGAAGTACACCAGCCTCTACAGGAAGCTGACAACCAGAATCTTGGCTGGCTGCATCCAGGTGGGCCTGGGGAGGCCCAGCTATGCTGGGACTCTGAGTCTTAGGGCACTGAGGGACAGCCTTCTGCTCTCTGCCAGCCGCAGCTCTGCGGTGGGGGAGGGGAGAGGACCCAGGCCCCCCAGTAAGCGCCTCACTCCATCCTGTAGCTGGTCCTGGGGCAGATTGAGGAGCACCGCCGGAGTCACCAGCCCATCACCATACCCTTCTTTGATGTCTTCCTGCAAAACCTGTGCCAAGGTGAGTGCTGGGAGTGGGAACTGACCCCTGTGCTGGCTTGGTGGCTGAAGGCTCTGTGTGCTCTCCCCACAGTGTCCAGCCTGGAGGTGAAGGAAGACAAGTGTTGGGAGAAGGTGCAGGTCTCCTCCAACCCGCACCAGGCCAGCAAGCTCACAGACAGGAACCCCAAGACATACTGGGAGTCAAATGGCAGCACTGGCTCCCACTTCATCACTGTGCACATGCAGTGTGGTGTGGTGATCAGGTGGGGTTGGGCCAGGAAGGCTGAGAGGGCTGTGTATGGAAGAGAGGGCTCTGGGGATCTGTGCAAGCCCTGCCACGGTGGCCCCTGTCCTGAGGGTAGCGGGACATGGACAGCAGTACGTGGGACTGTCGGGGGTCAGGGCAGGGGGGTGGGAACAGCTGGGCAGCCCTGTGTTTGCTGTGCTGCAGGGAGATGAGCATGCTGGTGGCCAGTGAGGACTCCAGCTATATGCCATCCCGCGTCGTGGTGCTGGGTGGGGACAGCCCTGCCACCATCAGAACGGAGCTCAACACAGTGAGTCCCCATGGGAGTGGCAGGCTGGTCCTTACTGTGCCCTGTGGAGGTCTGGCCCTGGTGTGAGGCCCTGCATGGTGCTCACTGGGAGGTGGGGATGTGTAGGAGCCTCCTCTGGCCTGTAGGCTCCAGTGGGTGCTGGGGAGGTGGGCACAGGCAGTCTTGCAGCCAGTCTGCAGCAGGCTGGTGTGCTGTAGCTGTGAGCCAGGAGTGGGGCCCTGGTGGGGGAAGCCCCGATGCTGTGCTGGGGCTGCTGGGATACAGAGGAGATGCATGGCGAGTACAGAGGCTGTGACTAAAATGAGGGGTTGGCCGTGGGAGGGTGTGGCATGCTGAGGGCTCACTGCCTGCAGGTTACCATCCTGCCTTCAGACAGCAGAGTGATCCTGCTGGAGAACATGACCCGCTTCTGGCCCATCATCCAGATCCGGGTGAAGCGGTGCCAGCAGGTAGGGGAACAGGGGCCAGACCAGCCAGCTGGCAGTGTGGGGTGTCAGGGCTGTGCCTGAGGAACTGAGGGTCATGCTCTCCTGTAGGGTGGCATTGACACACGTGTGCGTGGCATCGAGGTGCTGGGTCCCAAGCCCACTTTCTGGCCCGTCTTCAAGGAGCAGCTGTGCCGGCGGACATTTCTCTCCTGCACTGCCCAGGCTCACGCCTGGGGCCAGGAGATCTGCCGGGACCGGGGGCAACTGCTGCAACTCTTTGGGAGGTGAGTTGTCTCCTGGCTGTGCTATCACAGGTGTCCCAGGGTCCCAGGGGGTGTTGCTGGCAGCTTGCGAGGGGACTGCGGGGCTAGGAAGGGAGCAGCTGGCTGTCCTGCCTGGACAGGGAGGGGCCCTCACTCCTTCCTGGCCACCAGTGCTCCCAGAGGGCCACGGCCACCTGAGGTTTCCCAGGTTTAAGCTGGGTGTGTGGACTCGGTTAACCCACCAGAGAGGGGTGCTGGTTCCCCACAGGAGCTGGCACATGCTGACATGGCAGAAGTCGGCCAGGCGCAGCAGGATCTCATGGCCACAGGCACTGCAGAGCCCCTCAGCTTGGCCCAAGGGCCATTGCGAGCAGGTTCCAGGGCAGCAAGGGGCCCTGGCTGGTGGGTGTGAGTGGGGCCATGAGCCGTCATGCCTGGCAAGGGGCAGAGCAGGGAGCAACCACGGCACTCTGCTTTCCCACGGGAATTCTCCCAGCCATTGGCACCATGTGCTGCCTGGTTGCTGTTGCAGACTGAACCGGGCGCTGCAGCACGAGCAGGGCTTTGCTGACCGCTTCCTTCCTGATGACGAGGCAGCCCGGGCATTGGGCAGGACGTGCTGGGAGGCCCTGGTGAACCCCTTGGTGCAGAGCATCACTGGACCAGGTACCCTGCGCTCTCTGGGGCCCATCCGTGCTGTGCCCCAGGCAGAGGCAGCTGGCTCTGAGTCTGGTTGGCCTTGCAGACCCTGATGGCATCAGTCCCCTGGCCTGGCTGCTGAGGGAGTACCTGGAGAGTGTGGAGCCGCCCCGCCGTGCCAGGGGACACAGGACTGCCTTTGGATCCTGTGTGCGGCGCCTGACCCAGCTCCTGGTGCACGTGGACCCTGGTGGCCCAGAGCCGGAGGAGACAAGAGCAGCTGGTGAGCAAGGCACTGCCCTCCCGTGGGGCTGGGCTGATGGTGGTCCAGGATGTCAGGCTGTGGCCGTGGGGCTCGTCTTGGGAGGGCTCTGTGGCACAGGAGGCTCCTGAGCCAGGAAAGGCTTGTGGTCATGGCCCAGCAGTGGCCATGCCTGCCCAGTGTCCCCTCTGACCTGCTGTGGTCGATCAGTGTGTTGGGCCTGTCCACAGAGCCACACTAACCCCAGGGTCGACCCTTGGCAGGTGAGAAGACGGGGAAGAACAAGGAGGTGCCGGCCAGGGCTGCAAAGGCAGTGGTGAAGTCGAGTGGCCTGTGGGGAATCTCTCAGTGCTGGCGTGGCGTGGTGCAGCAGCAGGTAGAGCTTGGTGGGGTGGCCGGGAGGGGCATGTGGGACCCACACTGGGTGGGTGGAGCAGAGAGTGAGGCCTGGCAGTGCCCTGGGAGCATGGGGAGGGCACAGGGCTGTACCAGGCCTCCACAGAGCCCAGAGCAATGTGGGAACAGCTCCGCTGCACTTGCCACCCTGGCATGGCTCAGGTGTCAGCCAGGCCCTACACCCAGGCTGATGCTGCCAGACCAAGAGCAAGGTACAGTGTCAGACCCCTGATTTCCTACTGGGCTGCTGCTGTGCCTCTGTCATTCCCTCACAGATCCTGCCCAGCCCTCTCCACAAGCTCTTGGCAGCCTGCAGCAGCAACAGGGCCCCGAGTTGGCCCCTGGCTGGGACCCAAGGAGTCAGTGTTGGCAGAGCAAGGCTGGAGCTGCAAACATTCCCACAGGCACATCCCGCTGTGGGGCTCACCCCTCTCGCTCTGTGTCCCACAGGTACAGCAGTTCCTGGAGGCAGCAGGGCAGGTGCCAGACCTTGCAGAGCAATACTGCGGGCTGTACCAGCGCCTGCGCAGTGCCACAGAGGAGCTCTTTGGGCAGCAGGCCGCCTTCATGCTGGCCCTGGGCCAGGGCTTTGCAGGGGCTTTGCTGCAGCTCTCCTTCCTGACTGCCCTGCATGTGAGTCGAGGGAGTGCGGCACCGGCACCGGTGGCCCCAGGCGGGCGCAGGCTGGGGAGCTGCCCTGGCCCATGGCCTTGGGGCGAGCTCTGGGTGGGTGGTGTGCTCGTCCCCACCGAGCCACAGAGCCCTGTCCTGCGGCAGCCCGGTCCCCAGCTGCGGGTGTGTGGCGCTCATCATGGTGTGGGCCTGGCCCCAGCACACGTGTGCCTTGGGCTGGTGCTTGGGCACCCTCGGCTCCCACCTGAGAGTGCCAGAGCTTCCCAGCTGCTCCCCCAGGGGACATTCCCCCAGGCCTGCGCTGTGGCCACCCTGTGAGTCCCCTCCACAGCTAGCCCTGTTCCTCACAGGTGAGTGAGCAGTTTGCCCGCTACCTCGATGTGCAGATCCAGGAGCTCCGCAGGGCAGCACAGGGCAGCACAGGGCCGCTGGAGCGGCTGCAGCAGTTCTTGGAGCCCTTTGTCGTCTTCAGTGGCCTGGAGCTCGCCCACAGCTTCGAGCACTTCTACAGGTGAGGGTGCTGTGTCTCTGTGGAACCAGGGGCCTGGTGCAGGGTGGCGTGGCGTGGTGGGGGAGCCTGGCCCAGTGTGGCAGTTGTGCTCCCGCTTTGCTTTTCCTGGCTCTGGTGTGTGGAGGACCCGTGGGTGCTGCCAGTCTGCAGAGGCACATTCCCTGCACACACATTTCCAGAATGTGTGTGCTGCCAGGCCTGTGTGGCATGGGGTGAGGCCGGGGCTGTGTCTGTCTCCTGGCGGGTGGCTGATGACCACAGGGCCGGGGCCCACCCCTGACCTAATGCTGGCGGCTGTGGCAGGCACTACCTGGGGGACCGGCTCCTGACGCAAGGGCCGTCTTGGCTGGAAGGAGGCATCGTGGAGCAGATCGGGCTGTGCTTCCCCAGCCGCTTTCCCCAAGATATGCTGAGCAACTTGGCTGAGTCAGAGGAGCTCCAGCGGCAGTTCTGCCTCTTCCAGCTGCAGGAGCAGGATAAGCGGCTGCTGGAGCTGGACACGGGCCTGGATGAGGTGAGAGGGTGGGGTGGGGAGGTTGGAGACCACCGGCATTCCTCATGGGGATCCTGGAGCCTGAGCTGAGCCACCCTCATGTCCCCATGCCCAGGTGCTGGAGACAGCCTCGGTGGCAGATGTGCCAGAGGTGAAGGTGCTGGCCCTGTCCCCGCGCTGCTGGCCTGTTTCCCCACTCTGTTACATGGATAACCCTGGGAGGTTTTTCTCGGCAACGCTGAGCTCCCCCCTGGATGAGTTTGCTGACTTCTGCCAGCAGAGTGAGTGCTGTGGCAGTGGGTGTGCGTGTGGGTCTTGCTGGGGCCCAGACCCTCCCCAGCAGGTCAGCCAGAAGTGGTGGCGTGCTGGCGTGGGCTGGGAGTGCTGGTCAGGGCTGGTCCCTGGCCCTTGTGCTGACACTGTCCCTGGCAGGCCAGAGCCAGCTGGGCTGGGAGTGCACGAAGCCCCAGCGATTGCAGTGGACGTGGCTGGGCCACGCTGAGCTGCAGTTTGGAGACTGTGTCCTCCACGTGTCCACGCTACAGATGTACATCCTGCTGTGCTTCAACAGTGCTGAGGTAGGAGCTGGGGCCACAGAGGGGGGAGGGAGGCAGTGACTGCCAGAGCCTGGCAGGGCTGTGTCCTCCCTTCCCTTCCAGTGGGGTCTCCAGCAGCATTTGGGGCACAGGACACCCTTGGTGTAGGTCTTGGCCAGCCATTCACCTCCCATGCCCTGCTGCAGGAGGTGACTGTGGAGGCCCTGCTGCAGGCTACAGGGCTCCCTGCTGACCTGGTGCACCACGCGCTGACACCGCTGACCCACGGCCAGGGCGTCCTGGTGCAGAGCTGCACACTGGGAGGTGAATGTGGGGCTGGGGCACCCCTGGGGAGGTGCTGCTCTGAGCCCTGAGTAGGTGCTGGGCTTTGGGGTGCACAAACTTGTACGGCAAGTGAGTAGGCTGGGGTGGGTCTGTCTGGTGTTTCTGGGGGTGCGAGTCTGTGTGCCAGGTTGGGGCCATTAGGCCAGGTGTAGGGTTGGGAGTGGTGTGTGGGGCTGGGGCTTGGGGCCATGCTTGGGGTGCGAGTCAGTGTGGATGGTTGTGTCTTGGGTCTGTGTGTGGGTTGGGGACAGGGATGGGGTTGTGTGCGTGGCTGTTGCTTGGGGCCACGTGTGGGGGACAGGGCTGTGGCAGCCAACTGTGGGGGCAGCAGGAGGAGGCCCAGGTTGGGTCCAGCAGCCACACGTGTGTCCTGGGGCTCCTTCAAGGCCCTGCTGGAGGCTTGGCTGACCCTGGGTTGGGTGCTGGCTCCAGGTGCACTGCGGCTGAACCAGGTAGCCCTGGCCCAGGCCTCTGGCCACCACCTGAGGCTGCTGCCTCAGCAGAGATACCTGCGGACAGAGAGGGCTGAGGTGAGCGCCCTGGAGAGGAAGAGGAATGTCCTCTGTTGCCTCATCACCCGCATCCTCAAGGTGGAGAAGCAGCTCCACGTCGACAACCTGGTGTTCAGGGTACGAAGGTCCTGGGGGGCAGAGAGGGGCTGCATGAGTGCTGTGGCACACTGCATTGTGGGGCTCCCTTGCTGCCATAGGTGATTGATGCCTGTCAGAAGGGTGAACTGGGGCCAGGTGTGCAGTTTCTGAGCTTCTGCTGCCACAGCGTGGATGTGCTGTCCTGTGTCCTGCACCTGTTGAACCAGGGCTATCTCCGGCGCCAGGAGGGGAGGCCTCATGTCTTGGAATACATCTCTGCTGAACCTACGACACCTCTTGGGGGCCAGGCACAGATGACTTTCCAGTGCAGGCCACCACAGGCATCTCCAGATGAGGACAGCATAGACAGCCTGCATTGGTAGGGAGGCATGTCACCAGGTGTGGAGGGGTGTGCATCTCCACCCTGTATGAACATGACACATTTTTCCATGTCAGGTTGAATCCTGGCATAAACAGGGCAGAAGAATATCTTATGGCAATGCTGCAGGTGCCAATGGGGCACACGCTTAGTCCAGAGGAGGCAAAGCTGCTCATGAACCAGACAGTACAGCAGGTCCAGGACACTCTGAGCATATCGGATGACGTTGCTCGGCACCTCCTCATGCACTGTAAGTGGAACGTGGATTTCCTGATCCAGTGCTATGTGGAGAACCGTGATGCTCTGCTCATCTCCTCGGGGCTGCAAGTGCAGGATGTCCAGCCTCCTCCGAGCCCTGGAACCCACTGCCCAGTCTGTGTGAACCGGCTGTGTCCCACTGAGAAGCCACCAACCCTCTGCTGCATGCACTACTGCTGCAAGGTGAAGGTCCTGGGGTCTTTGATTCCTGTGACTTGCTGGGGAATTGCTGCTGCCTACTTGGAGCAGCTGTTCTTTGTCTGAAGATGTTATCAGAGATTTTCAGAGCTGATACATTCTCTTTTCTCAGCTCCCTTTTTTGTTGTGATTCTTCAGCTCCTGATTTGTCCGTTCCCACTTTTGTGCTTTTGAGTACTTACCCATGGGTTTGTTACTTACCCAGGGGTTTTGTGCACCCTCTGCTGGGTGGGGAAGGCTTCCAGGATCACACGACCCTGTTTAGGTCTCATCTCCTCTTTTCTGCCTTCACAGCCCTGTTGGAGGGAATATCTCACGACTCGCATTGAACAGAACATAGTTGACAACTGCACCTGTCCCATATCTGAGTGCTGTGCACAGCCAACCACAGCCTTCATTTACTCCATTGTGTCCTCTGAGGAGATCATAGCGAAGGTGAAGTAGGAGAGGTGGTTGCTTTGTGTCTAAGCTCTGTTTCATTTTGGTCAGCACTATCAAATAATCTTGCTGCTGCTTTTCCCCTTCCTGTTACTAACTCTGGCACTGTGATAATTGAGGCCAACCAGATTTCTGCCCAGTGGTGTCTGTTATCTCTGATTATGACCAATACCAGCTATTCAAGAAAGCATAATATCAACAAAAGAGCACAGTGGTATTTCCTCTAAATATGTCTCCTGCAAATAATGTTTCAGGTGCATCATTAGTTCAGGCCCAGGTGAAAGCTGTGGTAGCAGCTCATGACAAGTATCCTCTACTGGTGTGCTGGAAGCAATTGTAAAATCTAGGACAAAGGAAAACGTGAGCAATTTCATTCTATTGCTGCATTGATGACCTCTGCGTTGTTTCTCTTCCATCAGTCTCTGGCTTTGAGCACCTCAGGTTTTTGTGAAGATGGCAGAAATTACCACATCAGACTTAATCTTCACTAAGTGTGTGTGGGTCTACAGACATTTCTAAACCAGGCTTCCTGGTTACCTTAGTCCTTGGTCAGCAGGGGACAGCAGCAGCTGCTTGTTCTGAGGCAGAAGCTACTTTTTCTCTCTATTCTTTCAGTTTTTAGTTATTAGAGCTGAATGCCTTCCCCATCTAATGGCAGAGCTGTAGCTGTCACATGACAGACTATTTCTGTTAACTGCTGGACAGAACAGTCTCGTCTGTTTTCCACTGTTCTGTTGTTTGACAGGTCTCCACTTCCTTTGCTTCTCCAAAAATATTCTCTTCTTCCAACTTCTTACTGTCATTATGATCCTGTATGAACAGTCATAAGGAGAAATGAACAGTAGTCATGAAGGCTTGTCTATCATACAGTTTCTCTTTCAGCTTGCAAGCTGGCAACCAAAATGAGCAAGGCTACAGAAAAGCATTGGTTTAGATGTATCGGTTTTTTGTTTTTTTTGTAAGAAGTGCTCAAAGAATTAGTGCATATATCTGGACAGTTAGTCCTTACTGCCTTTGCAAATCCCTTAGTCACACCTGTCTGAGAGCAGGTTTAATAGCCTGTTGCTGTGGTTTTTTTATAAAAAGAAATAATTATTGAACATAAATCGCAGCTAATTTTAACAAGTTATTTTGATGCTCTCACTGAAATATTATGTTTTCCTTTGCTCAGTAAGTGGTATGACTGGAGTGTTAATGTCTTGTGCAGAGACAGTCATAGAATAATTTAGATTGCAATAATCTGTGGAAATCTCTAGTCCAATCCTGTTTTCAAAATAACTAGATTATTGTGTGAAGATCTAATGCTGAAGTTAAAACATATTGCTCCAAGTTCAACAAAAGGAAATGCCAAGTCCTGCTCCTGGTGTAGTATAACCCAATGCAACAGGATATGCTGGGGGTCAACCATCAAGAAAACATCTCTGCAGGAATAAGAAAAAGGATCACAGTGGACACCAAATTAAACATAAGCCAGCATTGTGCCCTCATGGCTAAGAAGGTCCACTAGTGTTTTAGGTTGATGTCGGAAGAGCAGTGACAGCAGGCCGAGGAAGGTGATCCTGTACCCAGTGCTGATGAGACAACATCTGGAGTACTGTGGCCCTTTCTGGGCTCACCAGGACAAGACAGACATGGACATACTGGGAAGAATCCAGCAAAAGGGCACAAAGATGAATTAGGTTTTGGAGCACCTCTTGAAGTAGCTGGGAGTGGTGGGTTGGTTTAGACTGGTGAAGAGGATGCTCAGGAGTGGATCTTATCAACATGTGTAAATTCACAAATGAGATTAAGGAGCCAGATTCTTCTTCATGATGTCCAGTGAAAGGATAAGAGGCAGTGGGCACTAAGTTATATACAAGGAATTCCATTTAAATGTAAGAATACTGTTTTTTGGGTTGTTGAGGTTTTTTTTAATAGTAAAGGTAATGAAATGTTAGACCAGGTTGGGCAGAGACGTTTGTAGTCTCTATCCTTGGGTATATTCAAAACCCAACTGAACATGGTCTTGAGCAATCCTACTTTGAGCTGGAGGGGTTGGACTAGTTTTTATTTCCAGAAATGCCTTCCAACCTCAGCAATTCTGTGAAATGAAACAGCCTCCAGATATGACATGTGGGAATGGGGAAATTTACACAAAGGGAATGAAAGAATAAACTAATTGAGTGCTGTTTTGTTGTGAGCAGTTGTTTAGTGAGATGTATAGCCCAGAGGCTCCAGACCCTGCTTGTAAGGCCTAACTATGCAGCTTCTCTGCCTTAAATCTCCTTCCTGGCTTCTTATTACAGTATGAAAAAGCCCTCCTCAGACGCTATGTTGAGTGTTGCTCCAACCTGACGTGGTGCACCAACCCTCAGGGCTGTGATCAGATCCTCCTTAAGGATGGACTTGGTTATGGAGCAGCCTGTTCCAAGTGCTCCTGGATATCCTGCTTCAACTGCAACTTCCCAGAGGTGGGGCTGAGCTGAATCATGAGCAATACTGTCTTAGGTTTGGCATGCACCATTCTGCTTTTGTGTGGTTGACTGTCTCCCTTTCAGGCCCATTATCCTGCCAGATGCAGCCACATGTCTCAGTGGGTAGATGATGATGGATACTATGAAGGAATGACAAGTGAAGCCCAAAGCAAACATCTGGCTAAGCTCATTTCGAAGCACTGCCCAAACTGCCAGGCTCAGATAGAGAAAAATGAGGGTTGCCTGCAGTGAGTATACATTTTTGCTTGCTACTGGAGACAGGAGAGGGCAAAAACAGTTAGGTCCACTGTGCTTTGCTTTTTTTTTTCTTTTTTTTTTTTTGACAATTACTCAATTGTTATAGCAGGTCTGGTTTACAGTTTTAGGAGAATGAGTGATTGCTTTTAATTCCTAGAAAAGCAAAATGTTCCCCAACATTCAGAGTTAAATCTGTTGATGGCTCTGTGATAGAACTGATTTTGCAATACCTTGTGCTCTTGTCTGCTCTCAGAATCCACTATAGCCATACAGAAGTAAAGGGGGAGTGGATAGCTCAGCACCATTTTTTCTTTCATGCTCATCTATTCCTGTAACTTAAAGCAATTTTCTTTTGACTGTTTGTTTTGAATCAGCTTGGATCTCTGGCAGCTTTTTACATGATAGGGGAATTACCTCCAGCTTTGAAGCTAGGGCTTAGGAGTTGCCATTTGTTTCTCTCTTGCACTGGCACAACCCTTAATGCCCAGCTGTGATTTGTCCCCACATGTGATGTGTGGCCTTAGGGCTGTGCAGTGCCTTTCTGCATTGTGTGGAGTGCAACATGTGTGAGGGAAGGGTGAGGTGCTCATGTGGATCTTGCTTCAAACTGTGGAATGCTTAGTCACCCTTTAAGTACTTGATAAGCTACTGTGAGATCATGCTGTCAGTTTACCCATCTCATTTTTGGAGACATTGACTGGTTTTAAGCATCATCTGATTCTAGGAAAGGCTTTAAAAAAATATACTGGGTGAATGGGACTGACTGCGTGGCACACTCCAGTGCTGTGATGTAGGAGCACTGGAAGGAACTGTCTGCAAGTGGCTCTTAGGTCTGAGTGATTTCTATTGTTCTTTTCCTACCATTTAGTATGACATGTGCAAAGTGTAATCATGGCTTCTGTTGGCGTTGCCTCAAGCCCTGGAGACCGAATCATAAGGATTATTACAACTGCTCTGCTATGGTGAGTGGTTTGCTGTATCCCCGTGGTTCATGCCTGTGTTCAGAAGCACCCAGCCTCTCAGAGAGAGTATCTCCACTTGGGTCCTTTATTCTGGACTTTTGTGCTTGCCAGTAATACTAACAGCATTGTCAAAGACTCTGTGTGTGGTAGCCGTTTCCAGGCAGCCCTAGTACTTCAGAGAAATTGCTACAGGTTAGTTTTACCTTTCCTTTCAGGTGAGTAAAGCAGCTTGGCAGGAGAAGCGTTTTCAGGATTACAATGAGAGATGCACCTTTCATCATCACGCAAGGGTAAGGCCTCCTTCCTTTGCAGATGCTGTTGTTGCCTTAGCCCTAGGGATCAAGATAGCTTTTGTTATGTCTCAGTGTCTTTTCTGCTGAGAAGTAGGCTTCAGGTCCAGGTTGGGATGCCTGACCATTTCACCCTTGCTCTGACATAAGGGGTAGTCCTTGGCCTGCTTTCTTCTACCAAGTCTGTTGAGGAAACTGGGCACCTGACTTGTGGCGTTCACAGACTCAAAGTGATGCAGTAGTTGGAAGCAATGGTGATTGAAGGCAGAATTCTGCCTAGAGCTGAGGTAGTATAAAAGGTCAAAGTGATGGCACAGTGACAGAGATGTCATAGTTGGATGCATTAAGTGCTCTGCTGCTGTCTGCATCTTCTGGGATGGCACTTCAGGATGCTTAGCAATTACCTGTGTGGAAGGTGCTGTTTTTTTAATCTTGTAGAGCTTGACACTGACATTGGCTTTTTTTTTTCTCTCCTTTGGTTATTGCAGGAATTTGCCACGAGTCTGAGGAACAGTATTTCTTCCATCAGAGAGATGCCAAAAATTAGGAACTTGACCTTTGTTCTTGATGCCTGCAAAGTGCTAGAACAGGCACGGAAGGTAAGGCTAGATAACAGTCCTGCTGAGGTTTAGACCTAATTGTATTAGTGTGTTTTATGCCTTTCTTAAAGTGAGGAGACATGAGGAGACACGAACCTTGACGTACTCCAAACAAGGGGAGACAGGAAAAGCAGAAGGGGAAGGATAGCATCAGGACAGGGTCAGAGCTCATGTCTGCCTTTCCCTGCTCTCACTCAGAGTTGGGCTCTGTTTGCAGTGTTCCTTACAGTCGGATCATAAGACAACTTAGCTCAAGTTGGCACCATGGAATCAACACAAGGGTCTATAGGGTTTTTATATACTGGGTTTGGTCCATTCCAATTTGAAATGCCCTGGTGAAGATACTTACCTTTTGAAAGCTCTCCTGATGCTGTATTTCAGTTAGGAAGTTCCTCTTGATGTTCATGTTATGATTTTTCTTTCTTAACTCCATTTCATGATATTTTGGAAGCCTGAGTTAATTACTGTATGCCCTGATAGCCACATTAAAAAGGATTTGCAGTGCAGCCACTGGAAGTGTGCAGTAAGCTTGTGACAGCTTAGGCCTGTAATGCCTGCTATCCTCTGAAACATAGTCAGGAGGTGGGAATTGTCTTGTGATATTGACTTGGCATATACACCTTGTTTTTGCACTCAGGCTTGATTTTGAGAGAGGCATGTGGAAGAAGGGTGTCTGACCCTATATTGTCTTTTCAGTACGGTAGCCCCTGTGTTTTCCGGGATACATACCACTGTTGCTTGTTGCTGCTGCTGAATTTTCTGACCTATTTCTTTAAATGGAAACAGTGATCTTGCTTCCTGCTGGGTGCCTAGGTTGCTTTAGGGGTCATTCATTCATAATAAGAGTTTGACACTTGTTGAAACCCCTTTATCGTGGGCTTTTGGTGCTCCATAGTACCATGCCTGCTTCCCTTTGGGCTCCATTCCCTCAGTTCATTGCCACTTGAGTTCAGCCTGGGCTGCCCAGCAATGCCTAGGTCGTGTGTGCTGGTGGTTTTGACTCTTTGCCTGCTGTTCAGTGACACTTGTTATGCATTTACAGTCTGTGTTTTCATGATGGTTTGCAGGTGGGAACAATCAGTTCTTTCAGACTTCAATATAAAATAATTGCACATTCATTTCCAGTCCTGTGAGTAGCTCTAGGTAGCCTGGCACTGCTGTCACTTGGCATAATGGGTCACTGGGCTATGACCACACACCAGAAGTGCTGCCAGGCTTCTTTCAGCCACTGATAGCAATGAGGTCTGGAAGGGTTTGATACTGCTCACTTCTTGCCCACTCTGAAGCTGGAGGAGGGTGCTTAACAGCATGATCTGTACTGTTCCAGGTGCTGGCTTACTCCTGTGTGTACAGCTACTATAACCAGGACACTGAGAGCATGGATATTGTGGAACAGCAGGCTGAGAGCCTAGAGCTGCTCACTAATGCTCTGCAGATCCTTCTGGGTAAGTCCTGCAGCCTCTTTAAAGTAGCGACTAGTGTTCCAAACTGTATAGTTCAAAGAGCAGCAGCTCTGTAGTGGGACAATAGCGTACACACCAGCACCTAGCTGGCCTCTCACTTCTCCCAGCCCATTTTTGCCTTCTTGATGTAATTTCTGAGAAGTCCGCTGGCACAATTTGGCTGCCAATGGAGATTAATGCAGTAAAGAGCAACATGTTCCGTTCTGCAATGTGCCATATATGCACAGGAGATCTAAGTAGCTGTGACTGGCTTCATAGTCAGAGCCAAAGACTTGGTCTCTGCTTAAGAGTGTGTGATGCAACATGACTTTGTTGGTCTTCAATTGCAGAGGAAACCCTGCTGCAGTACCAGGACCTGGCCTCCTCTCTTCAGCTTCTGAAAGCAGAGCATTTCAGTGCTGGTTTGGAGTTGGTACGCCAGATCAAGGAGCGTCTCTTTGCAATTCTCTGGCACTCCACACAGGTGAAGTTCACATGCCTGATAGTGGCTTATCTTGCTCTGGTCTAATTTGATTGTGGGCAAGACAAGGGGCTTGGTCAGCTGAGGGGTTAGACTCTAAGGGTTGTGTGTGTAGGGAAGGGGTTTGCAGCACAAAATACACCCCAAATTGCATATTGTCTCTCTCTCTCTCTTCTGATTGTTCTTTCATGCTAGCAGGATTTCCATGTTGGGCTCCAGTCTTCAGGAGATCCTGGTCAGAGAAAGTTGAAACTCGCAAATGTGCCTACTTCAGCCCTTGCCTATACAGGGTGAGTTTTCTTAGCTGGATAAAAAGTGGATAAGTGCAGACAAAAAGCAGGTGAGCAGAGTTTTCTCCTGTGCTCACTGACATACAAAAGAGTGAATGACAGATACTAATTACTTGCATCTTCTTTTGTGGTTTGAGGTAACAATTTAAGTGACAGTGGTGTAAGGAAACCAGCAAAACCTCTGTAGTAGGGCACTATGGGGTTGGGTTGTGGTTGCTTCTCACAACTGGGGCTCTGCTCTGCTGCTCTCCTTCTCAACAGGCAAAAACATACCATCTTGTGTGACTCCCCCAACACAGATGAAGGTGGCAAAGAGGTTGAAGATGAGGAGTATGATCCACAGTGGCAGGAAGACTATGATGATGATGATGACCTTGATGAAGACAACTTTATGATTGATAATGAATCAGATTGTGATTCCTACTTTGATGATGATGATAGCTATCATAGCTAGAAGACCACCATAGAAGTGGTCTGCCACCCAGCCTGCCAACCTGGACCTCTGCCTCTACTCTGTCTCAACCAGTTTGTGTTAGTGTTTTTCCTCGAAGGCAGGGAGGAGCTCTCAAGCGGAACAAAGCATTTCCTCTGGGAGGCTAATTGCTCAGTGACTCTTCTTTAATATGCAGAAACATTGCTCTGGGCAGCTAGTCTGTGTTCCTGTGGCCACGTCTCTCAGAAAGATATCTCCTTGCCTTTTTTCCTTGTCTCCAGTTCTGCCTATAGGTATTTAATTGAGTTAGAAAGTCACAGTCCACCTGCAAAGTTAGGACTACTTGCCACCTGTTAAAGGGCTGCTCATTGTCCTTGGATGTGCTCTTCCCAAGGTCTGAGCACAGGTGAGTGTGGCATGTATCCTAGCATGGCACTGTTTAGAAATGACCAGTGTCTAGAAATGCTGTAGAGTGATGCATTTACACTCAAGTCAAAGCCTTGCATCTGGATCTGGTGGGATTCCCTCCAGAGCCACAGATGGATGTGGTTCAGTTCCTCTAGTTGAGAGGGGCAGCATTTTTGCTGTTGGGAGTTTTCTTCTCTGCTGTGAAGCAGGAAGGACTACGAGTGACACAAGTTTGCAGGACTGTTTAAGTGTATAAACATATGTTATATATATATATATGCAGAGATTGTTCAGATAATACTTTATCTTTGCAAAAAAAAAAAGAAAACCCTGAGGAACAAGGGTTGAAAAAAGTTCTGTTTAAAAAAAGAAACAGTTTTCTTCTAGCACAAGCCTCCTTGTTGTCTGTGGGGAACATGAATGGTGAGGGAGAGTAGGATACCCTCAAGTGAGGAGGATGTGACCTTGATGTGCTCATCCCAGGAGTTATTTGTGAAATTGATGTGGGTTTGGAATCCTCACCCAGGGCACACAGTCTGCCCTGTAAAGTGCCTTTTCCTTCCTGGGCAGTTCAGGGAACATAAAGAGGTATGGGGAGGGACGGAAAGAGGATGGTGGACCAGACACACAGGGTGATGGGGCTGGTGTTTCTGGGAGCAGGTGCAAGACAAGACTGCCTGCGTGTTGATGAAGGTGGTAACATCTGGTGCCCAGCAGAAGGCAGATGTGGAACTGCTTTCGGGCTTGAGGGGTGATTTGGAGGTTTGTAGGATTGTTTTGGAGATACAGGGCTCTTAAGGCTTGGGTATCATCTGGGAGGGCTCTGGGGTTCTTACGGGATGCTGGGCAGGGACCAACTGCCAGGACAGACCAGGAGAGAGGACTAATTTTTCCACTCCCCTGCACCCCCTAGCTCCTAATCCTGCAGTCTCTCATGGTGGAAGTCCCAACCCTGCTGCCCATATGTGGCAAGTGGGTTCCCTGTGACACCTCTTCGGGCCCTCTTCTCAGGGGCACTGAGGGGGAGAGACATGATGGGGATGCCCAGACAGCCTCATCCCCAGAGTGACCACTTGTTCCTTGCAGGAACAACCTGAATTTCCCAGGTTGTTGGGGGGACAGAGCAGAATGTCCTAGATGCCAAAGTTGCTTATGTGGAGATTCATGCCTTGAGTTCTTCATTCACTGTTTCCTGGATGCCTACTTAAAACCCAAAAGGTCAGAAGGATTGTGTCTCTGCTCTCATGGACAATATTTGTACTGAAAATCAAAATCAAACCTTGCTGTTCTGTTCTGCGGGAGGTTTCTGTCCTCCCTTAGCTTGTAGGACACCTGTGTTATGGTTTGACAGGGGTACTGTCCCAGTCAAGCTACCTACCTGACACTGGAGCTGGTCGTGCCAGGCACTTGGCATCAGAAGTGAGAGCCCTTTGGGACTCACTCACTCACAAACCTCACTGGGTAAGTGGTAGAAATTAGGAGTAGTATTTCACTGGCAACTGGTCTGAGTTGCACAACTGTGGGGGCCTCCCACCTCTGAAGGCCTTCTTCACAGTGTCAGACTAGAGTTGTGATCAACAGGCGCTTATTTCCCTGCTGATTTTTGACAAGCCTGTTCTCTTGACTGTGGTTTCTTTCTCAGCATAGTAAGTAGGGACAGTGAGAGTCTCATTCATCCATGAACATCACTAATTGAATGATGAAGCATTTGCCTGTTTATTAATCACAAAAATGGCATATTTCTCATCCAGGCTAAGTAAGGGAGCCTGTCCATCCAGGTAAGGTTGGTTGATTTTGTTGACAGATAACGTTATGCGGCATGATTGCCAAGTTCTCTTTTATTTCCTGCCTGCTATCCCTTCTACCTCCATTACTTCTGATGAACATCCATTTCCCCAGATCATGACAACCTGTAAACAAAATTTATTTACAATCAAATGACTTTGCATATAAAATGCAAAGGTAGGTACAATATCTACAGACATGCTACGTCCCTACTTTCTTCTTTCACATTCCTTTCTTCTTTTACATTCCTCCTTTCCTTTCCCTCCCCCCTTACTTCCCTCCATCCTCACTGTACATCTGTCCTTCCTCCCCTCTGTTCTTCCTTTCATCCATCCTTCTGTCTATCCTTTCATGTCCGTCCTTTATTGCTCTCTACTTCCTACCTCCTCCTTTTACTACTGACCTCTGTCCTTACTTTATATACTTACACACTTAAATTCCCCTTGTTTTCCTGCCTTTTTGACTTTCTGCTTTCCTCTATTCCTCCTTGCCCACTTCTCCACCTTCTTGACTTCTTAATTCCTATCTTCCTTCTTTTGCTACTTTCCTCAATACCTCCTTCTTTCCTTCTTGCCTGCCTCCCTGCCTGCCTTCATTCCTTCCCTGTTATTTCCCAATTTTCCCTTGCCTCCCTTTTTTCTTCCTCCCTGCTTCATTCTCCCCTCCTTCTTCCCCTCACTTAGGTCTCCCAGGTCCCAAGCCTCCTTGCAGAGTCTGTAGGAGTGTAACAGTACCCACAGTAGCGGGAGGCAGAATTAGGGGCCATTCAGGTCCATTAGACATGCATTAAGTCTTTGCCAAAGGAATGGCCATCCTGGTAAGGTGAGCTTTAAGCTGGGAAAGGTGGGGAGCAGGGGGAAGTTATAGTGACCACCCATCCAGAAAAATAAGGCTTAAGCAGGGATACCTCCAGAAAGCCAAAGATGTGACTATAGGGCATCCTCTTGCACCTCTACACTCCAATCCCTCTATAAGGTGCCTGTATATACCAATGCCTGCAGTATGGGGAATGAGCAGGAGGAACTAGAGCTCCCTGTGCAGTCTCAGAGCTTTGCTCTTACTGCATAATGGGAGATATAATGAGACAGGTCTCATGACTGGAATGTTGTCATGAAGATGTTTGGGAAAGAGACCAGGAAGACTAGACCATGGAGATGCAAAGGCTGGGAGCAGCCTTGGATACAGCGACCATGAGATTGTGCAGTTTAGTACCGAGTGAGGAGGAGCAGGGTGGCAAGGAAGATCGCAACCATGGACTTCAGCAGAACACACTTATCCTCTTCAGGGACCTTCTTGGAAGAATCCAAAAGGAATGGGCCTTGCAGCGAAGAAAGGTTGCCCTAGTTGAAAGGATAGGAGGTGAAGTTTAGCACTATGTGGGGTGGCCAAATGGTGTATTCTACACCATGTTTCATGTTTGGTGGACTGCCTCTTTCAATCCCAAAGCCGAAAACTGAATGTGGGAAAAATCCCTCTTTTAAATTTAGAAAGATGGCATAATTCAGGGAGCAAAGAAACAAGGAATTTATTTGGTGTGCCGGGTCCTTCTCTCACCAAGTTTTTGGGGAGAAAGACCCTGTGGGCGTACAACTCATACATTTTATAGTTTTCCAAAATCCCAGCTGTGCTGGTTTAAAGGTAAACCGGCAGGGGAAATGAACCCAACTCAAAAGAGAGATTATAAGTCAGAATAACAATTTAATAAAATAATACAATAAGTACAATTATACAGACAAACAATTGGTTTTAGCCCACAAAACCCAAATGTGTAAACCAGCACCCTGGGGCATGGACAGAGTGGTGTTCTTTGGGCCCCCTGAGTCCAAAGTCAAAGGAGAGGGGAAAACCTGTTGGTGAGAGTGCTGTTGCAGTCTGGTCAAGAGTGGTGATTGCAGTCCAGTCAAGAGTGGTGGTTGCAGTCTGGTTGAAAAGTGGTGGTTGCAGTCTGGTTGAGAGCGGTGATCTGCAGTCTTCCTCTGGATCCCATGAGTGGTTAAAAAAGTCCTAAGACCCTAAGATTATATGTCCTCCAGTTCAGGCAGGAATGCCCAGTACCTCCCTCAGGGCAGGGAGTTCCGCAGTGGGGGTGAGGACAGGAGCATTCTCTTATCTTGCAGGCCTCTTAACACCTAGTTCATAGCCTGAGGAGTCAGGCTGCTCTGGGCAGAGGGTGTAAATGGTCTATTGATAACAGTTTCTGGGAAATGGCATGGAAGGCTATAGAATACACAGTTTTGGGTTACACCCATTCAGTGATGAACTGGTCCTAGCTGTTCTAACTAGGACACCAGCCTTCTCAGATAAGTTTTAATGTATTCCTTTTTACCTAAAAAGGTTTCTTTTCTCTGAAAAGGGGCTTTCCCTTTATCCCAATTGGCTGCAAGCCATTCCCTGTCAAAGGCGGTGGATCTTTCTTTGTTCTTAGCCCAAGAAGAAAAGGAATCTCGTGTACAAAATGGCCCTAAAAGATTTAATTTTTAAGAATTTTCTCATTTCCCTTATTCCGCCGAAAGAAACCCTGATACCCAAGTTCAGCTCTTGGAACTTGGGTATCTTACAACTTCACAATAAGCCTATTTATAAAAAACCCCGTATTTTTATTTCTCATAGGAAGGTTTGCTATTTTTGCTGCTGCACAGGCAGGAGAGGGTGTGTGGGACTGGGAGTCAGGACTGTGTGTCCTCTCAGCACTGCAAGAGAGCTGCCACAGCTGCACCACCACTGCCAGAGCCACCACATCAGCACCACCACCACCGGAGCTGCCTGGGACCATGGCTGCTGCTTTCACCAGCTGCCACTATGCCAGAACCCACACCAGCATCTTGGCAGAATAAATACTTTTGGACAAAATAGGCTTCCAGGTTTTGTTTTGCCCCTGTTCCCCATTGTTTTTGTCTGCCCAGGGAAGGCGTTAAACTGGAGAAACTTGTTTACCGCATTACTTTCATTTTTTTCCCAGGCCATGTGGTGCACAGCAAGGGAATGGGTGCCATTTTTGGTTTTGCCCTAGGGATGGGGGGCCAGACAACATTTTGCCTTTATTGGTTTTGTGGGTTGACCATTTTTCTCTGTACTGTTGTTATTGGTAATTTTACCTCAGTAAAATTGTGACTAACATTTTTAACTGGTTGCAGTCTTGTTTTCTTTGTTTTCCCCTTCCACTATCATACAGGGGTGGCTCGAACAGTCTTAACTTTTCCTCCCTGGCATTTTAAAACCAGTACAGGGGTCCAAGAGAGCTGATCAATATTCAAACACCATTTCCTCCAAGGCTCAAGAATGGGTCATCCCAATGAGGAAGAAATTGGACAAAAGGGGCAAGAGACATGCATAGACAACCAAGGAACTCCTGTGAATACTCAAATACAAGCAGGAGATATAGAGGACCTGGAAGCAGGGACAGGCCACTTAAAATCAATATAGGGATGTTGTCAGAGCATGTAGAAATGAGACCAGGAAGACCAATGCCCAACCGGAATTAAATCTGGCCAAGGATGTCAAGAACAACAAGAAGGGCTTCTTCAAATACATCAGTAACAAAAGGAAAACAAAGCCTAATGTGAGCCTGTTACTAAATGGAAGGGAAACTCTTGTGTCATAGGTTTACTTGTTCTAAAAAACGAGGTGGGGAAATTTTTTTTCTTCTTTCCCCTGCATCATTGTATTTCTTCTTTCCCCTGCATCATTGTAAAAGAGGGACATCATTGTAAAAGATTGTTTGAACAAGGGAAGGGGAGGGTGGTTTTTTTCTTGGGTGATTCACACACAAAAGAACTGGCCACATTCCA